TTTTATTAGATGACCGCTCATTAATTGTCTCCACCCCCTCTGACGGCACATACATGGTATTTACAGGTAACTATATTAATTATTATTAATTAATTGATTGCTCTAATTTTTGCTAATAATATTACAGATGGAACAACACTTCAGATAATTGATAAATCTCTCCCGATATCACAGCTGGTAATAGCCCATAGACACCGGCTATTACTACTGAGAACTGGTTAGAATTATTAAATAAATAAAATTTTTATTTTATAATATTTTATTTTTAATTTAGGCTACCCAAAGGACAATTATTTTTATGCCATTTCCCTAGAAATTTTTTTCAGCCCGTCAGTAAAAATAAGAAGCAAGTCCTCACTTAGTTCATACCAGCTGTCGTACACCAAAGGTACATATAACCTGTGTGTCTATAAATAGTAACGTTACTATTTATAGACATAATACTGTACATGTATAAATGATATCATTTATATACAGTATATTGATAGCTGCAGTTCTATAAATAGTAACATCTTTCATTACGTCATGTTTCTAATTATAGGATGTCACTTATTCTGCACAACTCCACTCTACAGTCAGTTCCTTCGTGTCATGGTTGCTGTCAAGAACAAGGTCTTTATGTTAGTGTGGAAGTACCCAGCTGTTTCGTGTTTCCCGGCCACACCCACAACTCCTAGTCACCCACTCCAGGGGTTCATTAAGCACAGAGTAGGACTTTGTTAAATATTTAAAATAATTTTTTATTTTATTTTCTGATACATATTGATGCTCTTATGCTGTGTAAAAAGTTTGAGGTGATTCCGACTTTAATTTTTCAAGTTACGGCCATTTTAAGAAATAGGCCAAAATCTGAAAAATACCCAAGGCTATAGCCCATGGTTTTTTCTAAAAAATGGCCAAAAATTGACCCCCAATTTTTATTACATTTTCTAATACATATTAATGCTCTTATGCTGTGTAAAAAGTTTGAGCTGCTTCCGACTTCAATTTTTCAAGTTACGGCCATTTTAAGAAAATGTCAAAAATCTGAAAAATACCCAAGGCTATAGCCCATGGTTTTTTCCAAAAAATGGCTAAAAAATTATTCTCAATTTTTATTACATTTTCTGATACATATTGATGTCCTTATGTTGTGTAGAAAGTTTGAGCTGTTTCCAACTTCAATTTTTCAAGTTATGGCCATTTTAAGAAAACGTCAAAAATCTGAAAAATACCCAAGGCTATAGCCCATGCTTTTTTCGGAAAAATGGCCAAAAAATCACCCCCAATTTTTATTACATTTTCTGATACATATTGATGCTCTTATGCAGTGTAGAAAGTTTGAGGTGATTCCGACTTCAATTTTTCAAGTTACGGCCATTTCAAGAAAATGTCAAAAATCTGAAAATTACCCAAGGCTATAGTTCATGCTTTTTTCGGAAAAATGGCCAAAAAATCACCCCAACTTTTATTACATTTTCTGATACATATTGATGTACTTATGCTGTGTAAAAAGTTTGAGCTGATTCTGACTTAATTTTTTTGAGTTACGGCCATTATAAGAAAATGCCAATAATGCTTTTTCTTCTTCTTCTTAATCAG